GGCCGCCGCAACCGGACAAGGATTGTCTAGTTTCAATTCTTAGGGCATTCGGCCGGTATGCTCACATCATAAGGAGCTGATACCAGGTTTTGAGTTGAGGAGTTGAGGGTTTACACGGTTTAGGGTTTAGGGGTTGCCTTCGAGGTCTGGAAAATCCAAGTTGGCAGAGTTCTAAAATCGTACGTGAGCGGCGGGGGGCTTCGTGTTGTTTGTGCGAACCTTTCCTGACGCGAAGGTTCAAGGCTTTGGGTGAAGAGTTCGTGCGTTTGTGTCTGGGGTTTGGAGCTTCATAGGGCTTCAGGGACATTTGAAGGTTTTGGGTTGTTCCCTACAACTGAGCCCAAAGCGGCCCAAGAACAACTGAACCCTAAACGCTAACCTCCTAAAATCCTGATAGAGATGTTCGGCCGAAGCCCTAAACCCTCAAACCGAGTTTGAACAGACTTTAAGCTTGCAAAGGCGGTTGCTGCAACCCTGCAGCATCGCCTGGGGCTAACCTTTCGAGAGATAGGGCAGGGCCCCTCGGAGTCTTTGTACGATGAGGGTTGAGGGTTTAGGTAGTCTTTCTACGACTGGTTCCCGGTCGGGGCTATATTAAAAACTGTGATCATTTTTGATCCTTATTAGGGTTTCATTATAACAAAAATGTAAAACTGTGTCCAACGAGAACCCAGACGATGTCAGGTATCTGGTACGAAGCCTGCTCCTGCCTCGTTCTGGATGATCTCGAGGCACTTCCGGATCTGATCGCCTTGGCTGACCCTGACGAAAGGCTGCAAGATTCCACTAGAACCCCTGCTGGCAACATGGAAGGGGTTTAGGGTTTAGGGTTCCTAAATACTTCGTAATACTATTCCTTAAAATTAGGGCTCGCTATCATAATTGCAGTATGGACTAGTCCGTCTCCCACGTTGAACAGTCAGTGAACCTTAGACGACTCTTTAAAGGAGACCTACAAAAAACCCTAAACCCTAAACCCTTAGAGGAACTTTTCGAAGGCTCGAAAGAGGCCCAAGGGGCACAGCTCCAGTGTGCGTAGTTCGCCCTCTTCGGGAAGGCGCGACCTGCATGATCTGACGGTTTAGGGTTTAGGGGTTTAGGGTTTCAGGTGTAGGGTTTGTTTTAGGAGCCTTGGTAGGGGCCGTCAGAGGTTGCTACGACTTTTGCAGGGTGAGTAGGTTGCTTGTGGTTATTACAGGCCTTTGGGGGTCCTGGGCTTTTGAGTCTATCATGCAGCCGCTTAGTCCTTGCTCGGCGTGGCTTTTCGGTGTGCAAAGAGCATTGAAAATTGAAACCCTGTCAAATACTGCCTGAGAGCACGAAGTGGGCATAGGAGTCGGCGCCCAGGGGCTGCTGGTGGTAGGTAGGTAGGTAGGTAGG